TCTTGACTCCTTTCCAATCTCTTACAACACCCCTTTACTCTCCTTATTGCCTTTCCTATTTTATTTATGCTTAATAAACCCACCATAGGAAAAGAAGTTAGAATAGATGCTATGACAGTTGCTGAAAACTTACTTCCATTTCTGTATATATCTCTGAATGATAACAGTTTGTGAACCAGCACATGTCTTTGCACCACACTTACTATGCTATGCTTTAGTAGTGCTAACTACAGTATAAGGTATACCACATGGATACATTTTACAAGCAAAAGACTGAGTGAAAAAAAATTTAGTTACAGAAAACTACAGAAGGACAACATTTTTCTAAAGCTCACAAATAAACACAGTTAATTTTATTGTTTAGGGATATGTGACTCGCATGAAACTAAATAAATTTCAAGAAAGTGCTTCTGTAAGAAGAGTGAGGTAGGAAAAAAATGCACAGGTACAGTAATATTGGCCAGCTATTTTAAATTGTACACAAACTTTATGGACAAAGCATATGTATATTGCATGTATTTTCTTATATATCAAAATTCTAAAATCAAAATTATAAAATTAAAATAATTGTGGAAAAAAATTAGTAAAGTTTTTCTCAGTATGTCAGTTCTAAAAGAAGACAAACACAGGGTGGTGCCGTAGCTCAGGTGGCAGGGCGCTGACCACATACACTGAGGGTGGTGGGTTCAAACTCAGCCCAGGCCAGCTTAAACGACAACTGGGACAACAACAACAAAAATAGCCAGGCGTTGTGTCGGGTGCCTGTAGTCCCAGCTACTCAGGAGGCTGAGGCAAGAGAATGGCTTAAGCCGAAAAGTTTGAAGTGGCTGTAAGCTGTGATGTCACAGTACTCTACCCAGGGCAACAGCTTGAGACTCTGTCTCAAAAAGAAAAACAGAAGACAAAGACCGAAGGAGAGTGCTCAGTGTCAAATCACATGTATACACAAACACTGCATTCTTTTATTTCAATGGCTGGGGAAGTTTTCGTATGAAGCAGGCCTTTCCTTTGAATAAAAAGAAGCAAAATTATAAACAATAGTTTTCTGAAACCCAGGCTATAAAGGAGCAGATACTATTTCAGAAAAGATAACACAGTGGCATCTAAATTTTGTTAGTGTGTATTGCCTTTTCTTCATGTTTCTAAAAGGAGACTAGAACCAATAGGAAAAAAAGAAAAAACATTACAGTGAACTGATAGAATACCACCAGTTGAATAATTATTTTCATATTATCTTGGTTGGAGAATGTTTCATTGAGTATTTCTGTTTAAAAAATCATTGACATTAGTTTTGCCAAGAAATGAAATTTAGAGGTTTTTAAACAGGGTCACACATTAGAAACACCTGGGAGACTTTTTAAAAAAATAATTTTAAGTGAAATTTGCTTAGCATAAAATTAACCCTTTTAAACTGAGCAATTCAGTGGCATTTAGTACATTCATAATGTTGTGCAAACACTGTATCTACTTTCAAAACATTTCCATCACTCCAAAGTAAAACCCCTTAACCCATAAAGCATTTCCTCCCCATTCTCTCTTCTACTCAACCTCCAGCAACCATCAATCTGCCTTAATAGGTAAAAGTAGCGCTTACCTCATAGAGTCAATATAATATGGGACTTTTTGGCTGCTTTTATTTAGCATAATGGTTTTGATGGTTATCTATGTTATAACATTATCAGAATTTCATTCCCTGTTATGGTTGAGTGATCTTCCATTGTATGGGCAAACCACAGTTTATCCATGCACTGATGGAGATTTGGTATTGTGAATAATGCTGCTATGAACAGTATGTACAAATACTTCTTTGAGTACCTGTTTCAGTGCTTTTAGATACATACCGAGAAGTAGAATTGTGGGGTCATATGATAATTCTATGTTTAGCTTAATGAAAAAACACCAAATGGTTTTCCATACCAGCTAGATCATTTGACATTCAGCTTTAAAAATATACAGATCTAGGCTCGGCGCCTGTGGCTCAAGCGGCTAGGGCGCCAGCCACATACACCTAGGGTGGCGGGTTCGAATCCCCCAGCCCGGGCCCGCCAAACAACAATGATGGCTGCAACTAAAATAATGGC